GATTCCATTTGCTATCGAGATCACGAAATCGAATCGCTTTCGTACTCGATACCAAATACGATATCGAGGAATACGGAATTCCCATTCGAAATCGTATTCACCAACGGATAGGTCGGTATCGAAATCCGTAGCAACCGTAGCATTCAAGCGCATTTAGACAGAGAAGTGCCGCCAAACTTAAAAAAATAATAAAAATCGTCACTTGTGGCAATTTGTTAGAAGTTGGATTGTTTTTGTTCTTTTGTTAATTTTCTTGAGTTTTTTTATTTGACTTCAACAGATAGATTTGCACTGTCGTATTTATTACTTTTTCTTCTCACTATTGTGAGGGCCGCTAATAAGGCTAGGTAATTAGAATTTTCAGTAGGTACCTACAGATACCAATGAGTAGGTTAAGTAGTTACCACTTTATATGTTTACTTTCAACTTGTTTATAGAGCAGGCGCTACAAGTACCGTAAAATGGGGTTACTTGGGACAAATTCACTTCCATTTTTTCAATAATGTGGTAATTTATCAGAGTTTTTAGGAAGGCAGAGCAACATTTCCTGTGTATAAAATTTCTTTCATATGCATTTAACCTATAAAGCACCATAAATGGCTCCTACTGTAAGAACATTTTGTAGAAAAAAATAAAATATTCACTGTCCCAAGTTACCCCGCATTGGGGTTAGATGGGACTGTACCGGTTTTACACCGAAAATGCATGTTAAACTACTCAGGGGTTACTTGGGACAGCAGAAAAATAAAAATAATACCCCAGCACACATCTTGAGTTGAAATTTTTTGTTCAGCGAATTATTTAGAGCGATGAAAAATCTGGGTTAACATCAATTTATTAAAAATATTTATTTATTCATTATAAAAATATGCAAAATATATGCAAAAATACTTAAATTAAAAATAATGGTGGGTGTCAATCAGGACCAGGGAAATTATCTTTAAATCGTCTTTCTACAACACCCTTAATATCTAGATATTATTCAGTCCTATGATGTATCATTTTCTGTTATTTTAACAGCAACCTTAAGTTATCTGTCACTGTTTATTCTACACGTAAAAATAGAGACAGGTATAGATTTTGAGCTATAACACAACTGTTAAAATAACAGGAGAGGATACATCATAGGCCTGATTGCTTCACAATGCGTCTTATTTCAAAGTGAGTTAAAGGAAATCCCCATTCAGCTGCTCTAATAAGTTCATCTTCTTCCGCTTTTTCCAGAACTGTAGGTCTTCCATATCTTCCTAAATTATGATTTTTACATCTTCTCTGTAAAGTTGATTTGTTTACCTTCCATTTGTCGGCTGCTGTTTTATAGGACTTTCCAGATTGTACGTCTTCTATGGCACTTTTCATATTGTTTCCTTCGAAGGCGTGATATTTATTAGACCCTACTTTGCGAATATATTTTCTTGGCATGTTGACCCCTGAAAACAAAACGGATTAAATAACATGGGGTAACTTGGGACACGGCCTAACTTGGGACAATGGTTGTCCCAAAGTTACCCAAAATCAGGATTTTTTTTGAAAAAATATTTCAAAATCTAAAAAAAATTGTCTAAAAGCGGGCAACGACATTGGCAGTATTTATAAAACATACAAAATTAACTAAAAAGTGTAATTGGACTTACCTGTTTACCTTTTGACTCCCTCTTCCAGATAAAGTTTTCGACCATTTATTTTTGCTTTGCTTCTCACCACCACTTATGTTTTTTTTATACTTTTGAAATATCATTAATTTATAAAGAATTCATTAATTTAATCATCAACAGGTTGCTCTTCAACTAACCAAAACATTAAACTGAAGATATGTTTATATTTGCGTTGTTGACGCTAGTAAAATTAGAACATCCGAAGTTGCGTCCCGAGTAACCCCGACGTCCCAAATAACCCCATTTTACGGTAGTTGAGTATGCAAAATATGAGGACCGGCAAAACTGCTCAAATTCGTGTTCCTGTGATCTTGAAGAATGGGAAAGTACATCTTGCCGGCAGCTGGAGTGGTCCCTAACTCTCCTGCCATTTCCCAATGCAAAGTTATATGGAAAATATCACAATTTCAAGTAATTTCACAATAATTTCTATTGATTGTACCTAAGGCTTTCTTTTCAAGCACTCAAAATAATTCTACCACTTGTTGGATATCTTTGCAATTCTGCTCCAAAATATACAGAAGTTAGAGAAGACTTCGACATGTACAGGGTCATCCAACGAAGACTGAACAGGGGCTTATTTTTGACTTTTCCTGTTCCTGTAGTTTTGAAAAAATTCAAAATAGCCAATTGGCATATTTTTTTCTGGAGAATTCAAAAATGATACCAAAAAATAATTTGAACTAAAAACTAAAGAGTTACGCCATGGATTAACTGTTTTTCAAATGAAACACCCTGTTTTTTATATAATTTTTGGAGAAGTCGCATTTTTAACGATTTGTCACAAGCTTTAAAATAATAATAATAATAATAATAATATTAAATGCACCGCTGTAGCTATGTCACCATACCTATACCTCTTGAGCTATGGACGGAAACCCAGAGGGTCGTGAGTTCAAATCCCACTAGCAACAGCAAATTTTAACATACTTACAACTTTCTATTTAAAACCCTGTCGTCTTTTTCACCACAAGAGCAAACTGAATTAGAACTATCATAGTCGTTAAAATCACACACATAGCATACACTCCATGGAATTCCTTTATAAGTGGAGAGGAGAGGGGATAGAAAAAAAATGGACCAAAAAATGAGCCGGCAAGATCCGGATTCTTAATCTTTGAGCTTTTCTCAGCTACAATCCATTGATAAAATGCGGTCCTCATATTATGCATACTCAAGCCCGTCTAACTCCAGGGCTGCATTCAGGAATGGCTACAGCCAAGCCAAAATTGGCATTTTGCGTTCAAGTTTGGCTCCAAGCTCCAACCTACGTGGTTCGGCATTACCGGTGGAGGGGGAAAAGTAGGTTATGGCATTAGCATTGCCGTCTTTGAACGCACCCCCGGTCTATTATTGAAATTTCTTTATGTAGGTAGCTACTAATAGATAGTGTCTTTAAAGGTTAAACTGAAAAATGCTTCCAATATTATTCACAATCGTCTACAATAGGAATTGCTCGACGAGAAAGAAATAGACGATTGATTGCTAGAAATATTTAAATAATTTTCTGGCTGAAGGCATGTACCATAGGGCGCGTTTGGGTTGACGCTCGGTGCACTCAGAGCTTGCACTTTTGTCTCTCTTCTGTTATTTTTGAAGCTCCGACAACGCTTGATTGTGTTTGGTTTGACATATTTTGAGCGCTCAGAGCGAGCTCGATAAACTCCGAGTTTGTGGGGTGGGCAGCTGGAGCGTGCATGCGCAGTTTAATCTGTTTGTATAACCTAACCTATTTTCCATGATAAAATAAATATAAACAATCCTGAATTTTAACATATACTTGTTAGGTGGATAGAATAACTATTTTGTTTAAATGTTAACAATCAAATAGCTAGTAAATTCTGCAAAATTTTTTACTTTTAATTAAATTTTCTCAATAGTCCTCATCACTGGTATTATTGAACATATTTTTCCAAGGGAACTTGGCAGCCTCAGAGTGTTAAGGTCCATTTTATTGTTTATGTAGCACGACATTTTTTGCAGAATACAAAAGAAAATGGGGCTGTTTGAAAATTATTGACTAAAATGCAAAACAAACGAGAAAACTCTGGTACAAATGCGGAATGCGGGCTCGGACTCCAAAAAATATATGCCAAGAAAAATAAGCAATAATCAGCTGATCGCTCAACCCAGCATTTTTGCACAAGTTTATTTGGCTTGACGCGGTGTACTCCCTGTGACGTCACGTTACTCCGTAATCGCTCTGCTCGCTCCGCCGAGCGTCAACCCAAACTCGCCCATAATAGACCTATCTATTTTACGATAAAGAGGTGATAATACGAAAACTTTATAAGATAGAAAAAGACGCAGAACGCTTATTGCGCAAGACGAGGCAAAACGTACCAAACCATGTTACTTATGTATAGCATTCCGTTCTTATTATTTGCACGAGATAAAAGGGGAAAACGGAAATCCGCTTGACGTGCAACGTATTTGTCAATCAAAAACACAAACAATTGAAAATCGATCACTTGTCAAGCTACGTCAATTTGAATATAAACCATAATTTTATCCTTGTCAGACCATGGGCAATGAACAAGGACAAGCAGATGTCCAGTGTGCAAAACGAACACCTCTCACCTGTACTAGTTAGCCAATACAAACGCATTGCCTCGTGTTGCGCGCGCATACAGGTAAAAATAGATAGGTCTGCAACGCTGAGGTTTTGTGGCACAGGATCATTCCAGCGCAATGAACTAGAGCTAAAAACTGGAATGCGCACACAGTGCCATATCTGCCAAAAAAATGAAGCCATGAAAGACAGATGCCACAACGGGGAATGTTGTCTTTTTCTGTTACTCGCTGACATATGACGTTTTCGAAAGTTTTGTCATATTTTCCTTCACAGGTTTCATCAATTGGAATACGTGTTGGAAGCAATTTTCGCCATTTAACATAATGAGTGCGACAAAAACAGGTATCCCCTCCGCAGCAGCTGCACTAGGCTTCACGTTCGTCCTTATGTGTTAGCATTCCAGTTTTTGGTTATAGTTCATTGTTCCAGCGAGATTTGGGACTTTCCCTTTCCATAGAAAAATCATTCAAGTCGTAAAGAATAGAAAAATAACAACAAAACGTGTCAATGTTGTCAATTTCATGTCGAAAGCGAGCAATCCACCATCTTAGAGCTGGCGAGTAATCCGATATCGTTCTATTCGAAGCGACCTCGAATGGGAATCGTGAATTTCACCGAAAGCCCCTAATCCGATATCGTATTGTCAATTGGAATCCGGGCCAATGACCACAAGAGTACGCTGTTGAAATCGGAACGGCATATGACAGTAAAATCAGCTCGGCAAATGACAGTAAAATCAGCACAGTAAATCCAGTACTGGCAGGTATCGGAAATCGGAACATAGCCCATAACTCACAGTAACCCATAACCTAACTCTACCTCTACTTCAAAAAAAATTTTTTTTCAACTGAACTGAAATCGAAATCCCGGTCTTTTGTTTGTTAGTAGACCTGTCCGTAACCCGTTATCCCTGTGCTGTCCGTTTCAATTTCCTATACAAATTACTTATAAGTAAGTATAATACATTACTCAACATAATATTAATACGTTATAAAAATAACGAGAGAAATAACAAAATCAAATGCGTAGTGTTGACAGTATTGTAGAAAACAAAAACACAGTAATGATCACAATAAAAAACTGTGACACTCTCGTTATATTTTTGTACTATTAAGTATTTGCCTTCTCAGTATTTGAATATTTCAAACAATAATATTGCTTAAATTTTATAGACCAGTCATCATGGATGACTTGGATACCTCACAAGTAGAGGAGGATAATCAGGAAACTACCACCATCAACTTTAAACCATCCTTTGTATTGATAGGCATAGACACTCATTCTTCTATGTTTGATACCAAACAAGATGAGGATGGTAATGAAACACATCATTTTAAGGATGCTTTAACTGCCTGCTACGAAATTGCTGATTCATTAATTTTTTCAACAAGTAAAAGTAATTATAATCAGTTTGGGATCGTTTTAGGTAAGTCCAACAACCATAGGAAAATAAACATTTTTCTGCTATTTCTGAAACTGTTTTAGCCGATCAAGACCAAAAAGCAACATTTGTTGAAGTCCAGAACAATTTGTTAGATACTGTAAAACTTTTGAAAAAAGAATGCCTAAAATCTAATGAAGACCTTAAAACTCAGTACCAAAGACAAACTGACATAGATCTGGCTTCTTTCTTTTTGCTTTGCAAGAAGAAATTTAAGGATATTAATGCAGCCTATTACAAAAGAACTCTAATTTACATAACCAATGATGATAATCCCTTAAAAGGAGATAACCAAAAGAAATTTGCTGCTTTGAATGAAGTGAAAACTTTTGAACCCAGCGATATAACTTTGGAATTGATAACAATGAAAGATACTTTTGATTATTCCAAATTTTACAATGAATTATTTCATTTGTATTCAAAACCACCTGTTGCTGATGTAGTTTGTCAAGACAAGGATGGTTTAGTTGAAAAACTATCCTCTTCAATCGTTTTTCGTTACACCAAAATCAGATACAATTTTTATCCATTTAAATATGATAAAACCAGATTTTTAAAAGTTATCAAAGCTAATTTTATACGAGAAGCTAAGTTATATAATACCCATAAAGCTTCTACTGATGGCAGAATGTTGATAAAAGTCAAAGCAGATCCCACATTGGTAAATCAGGAGGCTCAACAATTCAAAATTATTGAAGGATTAACATTGGACCTAAAGGATAAGTATGATATTTTTGGCAATGATTTACCATTAGGACTGCATTTACAATATGTATCTAATAGGCAAACTGATGTTGGAATAGTTATTAATCAGTTAAGTGTTTTATTTCTGAATCCTAAGGAAGAACTTGGAGACTATTTTGATCAGTTTTGGCAGTATTGTGTTGAAAAGAACAAGGTTCTTGTTTGCCTAAAAAAATACAGCCATCCCTCGGAAATAAGATATGTAGAACTCATACCTAAATATGCCAACAACCAGAAACTGTTCCTAATAAAAGACATTCCATTTGCTCAAGAACTAAAGATAGGAAAAGATGTTATGAAAGCTGTATCTCAAACAAATAATAATTCAGGCAAACAAATAGCTGCAATAAAACAGTTGATAGACAAATTAACACATGATTACGATCCAAGGGCGTTTCCCAATCCAAGTTATGGAAAAAAGAAGGCTTATGTTAAAGCCAAATTGTTGGATGAACCAGAAGAAGAATTTGAAGATCCTACAGATAATGTTGAAGGCATTAATGAACATTTAAAGGAAGTTATTACTAATATTGAAAGAAGCTTTGGTATTGATGGTGGGCTTCAGAGCCAGAATAAGCGGAAAGCGACTGGGTCTGCAGGATCTTCGAGGGGCAGAAAAGTGGCTAAATAATAATTTAAACCCTAAAATATTGGTTGAAATTACTTTTTTTTTGTATGTTTCAAGTTGCTTATGAAGTTTGTATTATTTTAGTGTTAATAAACCTATTTTTGCATTAGGTTTGATTTCTTTAAAGTTTAGCTTATGTAAAACTGGGCTGATGTTGAAATTTCAAATCTTTGGTATGAAAATATTGTTTTTTTTTTTAACTACTTGACCTGTAATGGTTATTTAAATAACAAGTTTTGAAAACGACTTTTTTCGCACGGCGAGACAGTTTGTTGTACCGAGCGGAGGCAAGTTCCACAAGTCGAGCGAGTGTGAAAAACAGGTTCTCAAATGAGTTTTTTACAATGCTTCTCCTACAACTGCAAAATACAACAACCAAATATTTTGTTAGAAAACAATAATCATCAATATCAGAAATTGGTTATAATCGCAATTTATGCCACGTCATGTCATGTCAGGATGATAGGACCAAAATAAATAAAAAACTAATAAGCAGCATGTGAAATATTATTTTGCACGCTGTGCGAGAAACTATTTTCAGAGGTTGCCCAGTGCGTGAAAAACTCTATTTTCAGAGGCAGTTGTGGGAAAATTTAATCACAATGAGTAAAATGTTATAGGATATGCACGTTGATCAACCTTTTTCCATAAATTTACAATATAACAGATTGGTTTTATCTACAGTGTGTCCCACTTAAGGACTGACAACCCTTCTAACATTTTTTCCTTTTTCAACCAATTCAATTTTTTTTTTTTTTTGTCTTATATCTACTCGAGTTTGGCACTTATTAGGTTCATAATTTTATTTCTGCGGTAGTACTGGTGTACAGGGTGTCAACATTTATAGGCTCAAATTTCAATAAGACTATTAGAGATTTTTTAGAAGAAATCTAATAGCAAATTCTTGTTTAGAATGGTCTTGAACCCTCGCTAAAACCCAGATGTATTAATTTTTGTTCCAATACGATATAGGGTGATCAAAATTTAATGGATCAAACCGCAAAAATGTCATATTTTGAGGCCTTGAAAACAACAAAACTTAATACAACATAGTTTTAGAACATCCTTGGCCAAAACTCAAGCTTGTCTCAAAATATGACATTTTTGCGGTTTGATTCATTAAATTTTGAAAATTTATTGTGATCAGCCTGTATCGTAATGAAACAAAAATTAGTACATTTGGTTTTAGGCCATTCTAAACAAGAATTTGCTTCCAGATTTTTTCTCAAAAAATCCCTAATAGTACTTATTGAAATTTGGGCCTATAAATGTGGACACCCTGTACATCAGTACAGCCGCAGAAATGAAATGATGAGCCTGATAAGTGCCAAATTCGAGTAGATAGGTATAAGACAAAAAAAAATAAAATTTAATCAGGTAAAAAAAAAAAAATCAGAAGGGTGGTCAGTCCTTAAGCACTGTATTTAGGACGGGTATTCTAAAACTTTTTTGACAGATAACTAAAAGTTATTTTCTGGAATTACTATGAAAAGTAACGTCATTCCAGAAGTTAACTTTCAGTTATTCTGTCAAAATAATTTTATAATATCCGCTCGGGACACAAATTCAAAATCTTCGCAATGGGTCATAAGAAAAAATACAATATCTCTTAATCATCACTTGGTTGTTGCTTTCTGCTATGAGATCGGCGGCTAAGCTCTATGCCCAGCACTGTTGTTGAAGCCCTTGGGTATATTAAATTAAATTCGCCTCCTAATATTAAGTTAGTATCTAAGTACTGATAAATTTGGGGGAAATAAAAAATTCATCAAAATTTACAATTAACTTGTGGGCTTGAGAATAGGTATATTATGGCATCACCTGATACATACTTATTGTTGAAAAACTATTATCATAATAGTACTGAAAATATGCCCTTATAACATTTGTTTGATAAAAGTGATCCAATGATAAAAAGGTAGAGGAAACCCGCCGAGGGCGCTAAGGCATTGAATCTTGTACTTTTCTTGTACAATATATTTCCCAGCTTTTCAAAAAGGTGTTCTATTCGCCCTTGTAAAATAAAAATTCACTTCTCCACATAAAAATAGATAACAGGATACAGTCCTTCCTCAAGAAGGGATATTATATTTTAACAAACTCATAACAGCCATAAAAAAAACCTCGCAACCCAAAATCAAAGTACCTCCAGGTAGAGTTCTAGAAAACTTTCTAGAGAAAGAAAAGACCAAAACATAGAAAACCATGATAATCCGGAGAAAGCAAAAGATTGTCCAGTTTGTTGGACATAGACCCAATAGGTATTGAGTAACATTAAATGCCAAGGTTTTGCTAGATTGACTAAAGAAGTCTGATGGGCCTTATGGCACTGCAAACAAAAATTAAGGAATCTTGAATAATATATGACTGTATGATATTATACACTCTATACAGAGTACCTCTGTGTCCAGTGACAATGCAGCGTCAAAGGATATAATGTGCTACGTAGGTACTAGCACAAACCTAACTACTACTACTTGTAGTAGTTAGGTCTAGTAGTAGTTAGGTCTATGGTACTGGCATTCTCAACTGACAAATATAAATAAAGAATTTTTTCTAGGTAGATTTACCTTATTTGTAGTATAAACACCCGTAAAAACATAATAGTAAATACACTAACAAATTTTGTATTTGTAGGTCCGTCCGTCTTTTGTGAATAAGTTTAAGCAATTAGGAAGGGTGACCTCAGGATGTTATATGTAGAGTCATATTTCTATGCAACAATGTTAAACATTAAACAGTATCTAAGAGATTGAGATAACATATACAATACGTTCCATGCATAGGAAAACTGAAAATGCTGATTTTGACATGGTTTACGACTGTCTTGCATTTAAACATTGAATATAAATTATGGAAAACAAACCAATTTGAACATTTTATTTTTTTAAAAAGAATAAATTAAATAAATACAATTTCCTAAATCCTAGGTACACTCAATCATCGCCCACTTTCTCTCTGGTATGTTCAAAATAATCCTGCACTGTACTAAAATTGACAGCACAACACTTGCACTGTATCATCTCTACAATGCCATGAGCGCTACTAAAATGCTCTTTTAGCGTTGTTAGAGTGGTGAAGCTCAGTTCGCATTGTGCGCACTTTGAAGTGTGCATTTTATTGTGCATTTTCACATGGGAAGACAAGCTCCACGATGATATGAATCCAAGGTTGCATTTGGGACAAACATATGGACGTTCACCAGTGTGTTTTCGACGATGAGATACAAGACCACTGGAACCATTAAAACCTACAACAATAGATTTGTTACGTTTATATCCAGGTTGATTTGCTTGTGTGAACCTACTCATTTTCATTCAATCGTCAAGTTAGTTATTTGAGGAATAACAACCTTTTTAAATTAATACATCTCTTTTTATTATACACAAAAAATATTAAACTGGCAACTCCTAACAACTATCTGACAATCTGTTACCTAAGGTATGTAAATAGGTACATTTGATCTTGAAAAGAACTGTTACACGCTCTCTGTATATATTAAGTACCTACACAAATCTAAAAAAAAATACTCTGTGCTTCAACTTCTGACAATAATAACCATTTTGTGGAATATACAAATTTGCATTTATTTGATAGGGCACAAGACTCTACACATTGTATTTCAGTGTTTATTATCTGCAAGGCATATCTAATAATAAATTAACAAATTGAATATTTCATCCAAACATTTTCCAGATTTTGCAACCATAAGATAAGAAAATAACTATTGGGTGGCTGCGGAGAGTAGGGAGGGTGGCGCTTTTGTTATAATTATTATGTACCTAGTGGATGGAGCATATAGCATGTTATTTTTAACACTGATTGATTTTAAGTAGGCTCACATAGCAAAAAATTAGTTCCTCACCCTTATTACAAATATCACATATATGACTTTTTTCTCCAGTATGCATCCTTGTATGTTTGGTAAGTTCATTGCTTTGACAAAATGCTTTTTGACAAACATTGCAGACATATGGTCGCTCCCCTGTGTGTGTTCTAATGTGAGCAGTAAGGTTTGAACTAGTGGCAAAAGCTTTGGGACAAAAATTACATTTATGCGGACGTTCTCCTGTATGTGTTCTCATATGTTTTTCCAAATCCTGCGCCTGTCTGCAACCTTTATTGCAAATAGGGCATTTAAATGGCCTTTCATCGTTGTGTATTCTCAGGTGTATTTTGAAGTTTCCTCCATGAGAAAATCCTTTACCACAGATGTGACATTTATGTGGTAAATCTTTGGGGTCTAAAACAATTTTAATGTCTTTTGAAAGTAATCAGCAAATTTTAGCAAACTAGACTACTTGTAAAATTAGTCATCACAGCAAATGCAGTTTTAGAGGGATGGCATCTTGGAAATGTATATTTCAATTTAAGAGAAGAAAAAAAAAACCCAAAAGTTTGTTTAAGACTTCAGTTCGGTAAATGAAGTGCTAATCTGCATCTGGTAAAGTAGTTTTTCTACGATAGATGCTTACCATCTGTATTAATTTAAAAAATTAAGAAGTTTGCTCTGCAACTAATTCCATATTAATAAACATTTTACTTACAAGTATGTATCTTCATATGCCTATTCAATTTAATATTAGTCCTAAAAATTTTCCCACAAGTAGTACAAGCCTTTCCTTCCTGATTATGACTATTTTTAGCTTCCTGTTTAGTTTTGACATTTTCACTATTTTCAGTTTGTGTTACTGGCTCAGACTGAATTGGCGGTGGAGTATTAATTTCCAAAGGGAGCATTCGGGAATGCTGCTGATGAATATCTGCTGGCGTATCTATTTGCGTGTTTTGTAGTGTGTATTGAGTATTATAAATCTTTAAAAAAAAACTTCTTGAAAATCCTGGAAATTATTACATTTCAATTCTTACCATTCCTTGTAAATTATATGCAGGCACTTGAATTTGTCCATCACAAGTTATATTGGCATAGGTAACTTGAGTAATTGCTTGATTGTTTTGAGTAACAGTCATAAAATGGTCATAAGTAGAAGGCCTCAAACTATCTATGACATTATTTGGTTGAACAAACACCCTGGATTCAATTTGATTCTCTTGTGGTAAACTACCCTCAACCATATTTATGTTTGGCTCAATAATTGAGGGAGCTTCTTCAAGTATTTTCTTATCCTCTTCCTGTGATAGTAAAATTTTGTGTTGCCTCAATCTGATGTCTGATCTTTCACATTGTCGTTTTAGTTGGAAAGCTATGTGAAGTCTGGAAGCGCATTTGCCACATATTTGGCCTGGAAGACCATCATTGGGCCAAACCTAGACAATAAATAAGATTTAATGTGAAGTAACAGTGCCAATAACTTTTTTTTTATAACTTTGTCTCGCCCGAGGTCTAGCCTATGTAAAATGTAGTTTAAAACTCCATAACAGTCAAATCAAATAAAAGCTCGTACTGAATTACCACAGACATGAAAGCCTTGGACAAAAGTTTGAACTTCACATAAAAGGAAGAACAATATGTGAATGTTTCCTTTTATGTGATGTAAATTTTTTTGTTATGTTGCATAATAAACGGTTTTTTTATCTTTTTTCTTTAAATCTTTATCTTTATCTAACTTTTTCAAGTAGGATTTGTAAGGAAATATTGAAAGTAAACCAAGCTACCTGAAAGACACAGCGATTCAAATGACAAGAAAACTATCAAGTAAAGCACAAATGAAAAATCATAGAACAGAACCAAAAGTACCTACTTGGACTCTGATAAATAAAATCACAAGAAACAACAATAAAAAGCAATCAAGTTTGCGAAAAAGGAAAGGAAAGAGGTCTCAACCAAGTCAAGTAGGTTCTCTGCCATCATCCAAACTTGGTGTAGTTGTATTCACCTGCATGGATGTCACAGGTATGGACATTTTTCGTTTAAGGTAAGGGCATCGATAGATAAATGCTTTCTTCGAAAAATGTCACTTGAAGATGCCCCCCTATCAGTACACTCAAAAGGACGCCACATAATACCACAGATAAGTCCAACTGAATTTGTGATAATACCTGAGGATCCGGCTCTGCTCGAAAAAGGTTTAAATTTGGGGTTTTATGATTTATTACTTGGTCAAAAGGATAATGTGTGTTAATTTATTGCAGTAAGAGTCAACAGTATATTGTTGCGCGTACTATATGCATGCCGACTATGCTAGTATTTCCCAGGAAAAATGTAAATAGAGGACACCTCACTCTTGAATTGGGTATCTCCTGGAGTAATCGCCAAGTGCCGTCCATTTAGATGAACCCAGAGAGAACTTTCCACAGATTGTCTTTAGCATTTCACCAAGCATGTGAAGCCAAGTAAATGAGAACGCAGAGGCATTGATATATACCTAACTGTTACACCTATACCATGGATTAAGAATTGAATTGACGCATTAAAATGAAATTACAACAACTTTAAATATCTTACACTTTTTGCATGTTGCTTTTGCCTCACCGAGGTTTAATTACATATATAATTAGAAATTATATATAGGTAGGTACATAAATTATATTTAACCAAAGCCAGACTGTTTTTGAAATTTTTATACAATTTATTACATCACCATTACCATAGCCATTCTCTGTAAAATTTGTTTGGCTCTAGATATTCAGTCATAAGAATAAAGTGTAGCGTGTAGCAAATGCTTTTACTATCAATTTTTACTATACCTCCATCTCTTTTTGCTGCATTAAAGCTGAATATGTTTATCTCAAAAAACTTAAGTAAAAGCATTTGCTTCTGTTTTATTCATATGAGCCATTGATATAATGCCCTTCATTCCTATTTACGTGTTCATGTATCAACTGCAGTTAGTGGACAAGCTACAGGTCAAGCTACCGGGCATACCTCGTCTATGAAAAATTCTCCCTGAGCCTGATTCCCCTAACAAATATGTACTTAGGTTCAAGTTTTGTATTTTTCACACCCTTCTGTTGAATGTGAACTTTTCGAAAGCCTACACAAATTATTCACTTTAACTTTAACTTACACTCTACTTTCCAGGAAAGATCTAAACTTCTCGAGTGCAGATAGAATTCTATAAAGACTAAAGAGGTATCCTTACCTGAATTGCAGCGATCCCCATCATTTTTTTGTGCATACCGACTTTAAAAAGGGACATCATATTGCCATGGCCCATACAAATTCTGCATATTATGGTAAAATCGAGATTCATGCCGTTTTCTTTCAACAAAACATTAAAATTCTCATAAAATATTAAATTCTATTTACAAAACAAACTTGTGAAACATCGACCTAACCTAACATCTTTGACAAGTGAAGTTGTGATTTAAGTCGGGGGGTGCGTTCAAAAATGTTAAGATAGGATCCATTATTAAAGGCTGAGTTTGGCTTTGCACTGCACGGAGCGGAACGGTATGTGCATGGATATCGTGACGTCATACGCGGTCATAAGCTCAACGCAAAACAAAACACTCTGAGAGCTGAAACGAACAGGATCTTATCGTTTCGAGCGCGCTCAAAGTTTACAGAGTGTGAAGCCAAACTCAGCCTAAATAACGATAGTAATAGTGTAATCAAGAATCTTTCGCGGGTAAGGTAGGGCAGGGTGGAGTAGTGTAGGGTTGCGTAAAGTAAAGTCAAGTCAAGAGTAGAGTAGAGTCGAGTAGAGTAGCAGCGAAGAGTAAATAGAGCAGAGTAAAGTAAAATAGAGTAAAGTAAAGTAAAGTAAAAAAGGCCCATCCTCAATCAATCTGGTAGCGAAGTGACACTTCGGCACGCATGGACAATGTTGTTTAACGTTGGCATCCTCAATACATTCCGTGCTATATAGCACCCACGCCGACTTCGAAGTGCAAGCTACAAGCTTTTCCGATGCGTGCCAACTTAAAGCCTGTTTGTTTTTTTAGAGATAAAAGTCAAAATTACATTATGTTGGCAATACAATGTAAAATTGTCAATGCGTTCAATTTTTTTATGTAGAAGAGGTTTGTGTTGCCAACATAAGGTGAGTTCCGCTTGGAAACTCTTTTGACTCCTTTGACCCTTTTCCCTGTCAAATCGTTCAGGTCACGCCACTGGGAGCAAATACAGCAAAAGAGTTAACTCCACAAGCACAACCTCGAGAGATGAAGCTCGAGGAGCGGGCATGCGCACATCCTATATTTCCAAAAGGCGGTAAAATTTAAGCTTTCGATTTTTCGATAATTCACTATCCTAACGATCCTAAGGTAAAGAGTTCAAAGAAGATATTTGTTGCTTAGGGCTTGGTTGCCTCCTGGTAGAAAAAATGCCTTCGCTCCCCAAAATATCCGCGAAAACACATGTTCCGCTGCGCGTCGTCCGGCAAACTGCAATCTCGTGCGGAAAAGTGGCACTTTCCGCACTAGTCAAGAAATATACTATATCTACAAGCGTTTTTTTATGACGTTTTTACATAACCATTTTTATAGTATTTAAGTAATGTTACGAGACTCATAACACAACTAGTGGTGTTTGATTTCATTGGTTGAAACTACTTTTCTGACTGTTTCTGACCGTTTCCAACCAATGAAATTCGCTCTGACTGGTTTGTGACTTCTGCAGAAACAAACCTTTCAACGGTACGGTTTGTTAGGGCAGTGCGAGACGCACAACTAACATTATGTCGAACGCCGCACACTCGCACACGTCTGCTAAAATCAACTGAGTGTAAATTATGGACCAGTTTGTTAGCTTTGCGCAGGTGAGCGTGACGCACAGCGTCTGCAGTAGCTTTGTTTTGGTTTCACTCAGAACTAAATAGTTCGGAATCATTCTGCTCATGCGCATATTAAAGAACGCGTCTAATGACAGATTCTCTTCGGGGATTTCAACCATTGAAAATTATAACCGAATTTTCGCGACAAATGTAGTTCATCCAAGGACGAAACATAGTTCGTCTGTGACGTCATGAGTTTGAACGCTGACTAAAAGCTGCGTCTATGTTTCCGTCAAACTACGTTCAATATGACGTTATGAGTCTCTCGCGAAAACGTTTGTTTTCATGAAATCATGGAAGTAGTTCATAGCGAAAATTCGGTTCATGTCAGCGCTGAGCTCAAAAAAAGAAAATTTAGCGACCGGACGTCATATGGAAAAAAAAGGGGGCCCCTACTGAAATTTAGCTGGCCCTCTCTGAAAACTTGCTATCGTGTCGGCAACAATGGTGGCATTCATCAAGACGTAGCGCTATTGTAGCGATTGAATGTTAGGATTGAATCATGATGGAAAAAATGGCGTCCCTGCCCCTGCCATAAGCGATGCGGAGTGATCAATATTACAAAACAGGCCTTCATTACAAAATTGATGATTACAGTAGCGCTACGTCCTGGATGAACAGCAACAATGAAATGCAACATCAGCACCTCTGCCGGTTTTCGATGAGCACAGTCTAAGGGCGGGTATTATAAAACTACTTTGAGAGTTAACTCAAAGTTAACTTTTTGAATTACATGTAATTCCAGAAGTTAACTTTAAGTTAACTCTCAGAGTAGCTTTATAATACCCACCCTAAGGGTGGGTATTATAAATCTACTATATATCTATATATCTATATATATCTATTGTAAAAACGTACAATGTCTTGGGATGATCGTACAACGTTGCAGGTTGAAGCACACGGGTTTGCTTCACCCGTGTACGATGAATCCGAGGCATTGTATGTTTTTACATTGGATATATGCGGCACAAGTCTATCTGCGGTATTTACTTCATGTCGCATGCATGTTGCATGTTGCATCGAGTTGGCCCTGTTGGCAGGGCCTACGAGTGACGTCACCACTATTAGCAGCATGGCAGCTTATAATGATGACGTCACCCGCAGGCCTCGATGGGATGCTTGCGATTCAGGTTGTGCTTGTTTGTGGTGATTGATTTTAACAAGATTATAACGATTAGGAAATCGTTTTTTTGACCTATACTGTTTTAAACTCGACTATGCATTTTACGCCAAGTGTTGAGGTCTTCGGCTGAAATGGCAGACATTTTCAGCTCAAGAAGCAGTCCTTTTAGGTTGAGTGTTGTTGGGCACAGGCAACCCCAAACATATTAGTGTCGAAATAAATAATAAATAAAACTAAATTTTTCTGGCCCAGTCTGGCCCCCCTAACATAGAACCCTGGCGTCGCCACTGGTTGTGCGCCCCTCGGGTTATACGCTACAGACCTTGAGTTTCTATTTGGCTCATAGTCATAATAATCTTGGTATAGGTACAGGGCCGTAGCTAGAGTCAAATTTAAGATAGGGCATGACAAATTCGACATAGGGCATACACTACTTGCCCCCCCACCCCCCTAAATTTTGTATAGGTAAACAAAATTTTTCAATAAATCAAGGTTTAGGTTGTATGGTAATTGGTAACTTGATGACGCATCAAGGTATGTATAATGTATGGTAAAGTATGGTAATGGGTAACTTGATGACGCATCTGATTTGGGATACCTTATAGAGATTTGCATTATGTTGAGGCACCCCAGATGACGTCAGAAAGTTACCAGGCATCCTACCTCTCTCGCCTTTATCAAACAACTTTGCAATAAATAACATCTCTGGCAAGTAAACAAAATGGCGCGGATTTTCGCGCCGGCCGCCTGGGCCATTCGCACTCTTTCAAAACAAAAAAAAAAAACTTCCTCTTTGCAAACGTCAACCATTGTTCATTAGATTTAGGCATTTTCGGAAACATTCATCCTCGCTTACTCGATTTCAGGCCTATCTACTTCAGGCATCTTCTACTCCTAAATTTTCTAAAGAAACCTTAATGTAGGTATGTTGATTTTTAAAGGTAGGGCATTACCATTTAAAAGATAGGACATTGCCCCCAATGCCCCCCCCTGGCTACGGCCCTGTATAGGTACTGTCCTGTCTTTTGTATTAGAACATAAGGAAGTAAGATGAGTCTAGAGAGAGTATTTTTGTGTCTCGCACTTGGACCGTCGAAGCGCAAGAGACAGCAGGCAAAACAAGAGGTCACCTTTTTTTTTAATAGCATTCTTAAAGGGTGTGTGACCCTAAAAAACGACTTAGGGCGGGTATTATAAAACTGCTTTGACAGTTAACTTGAAGTTAACTTTTTGAATTACACACATAAATTACTATTTTCTACTACCGTGCGTAAAGTATGCACTTTACGCACTATTCAGAAGACGTAAAATTCCATTTCACACACTAGTGCGTAAAGTAATTCACTTCATACACTAGTGCGTAAAGTAATGTCAATGACAGATGTTGACAATGTCAATTTAGTATTTTCTGGTAAATTACTTCACGCACTAGTGCGTAAAGTGAAAATACTTCACGCACTAGTTTGTGAAGTATTTGTCTAAATCTATTTTTTACACATATTTGATTGGTAATAGAAAAAATTTGTATGCAGTACGTGTGTAAAGTAAAGCACCTTTTTTCACTCATGTGATTGTCAAAATTCACATTCGTGAAAAAAGGTTCACTTTACACACTTGTTGCATAAATAACTATTTTTCTACAACTGACAAAAAAAGATGATGTGTGCACACTGCTGACAATTTGCGAAGTGACACTTTTTTTTCCAGGTAGATTTTTTTTAACGTTCCCATGACGCCGTATGCGAAATGATTTTCCAGTGTGCGAAATGCTTAGTTCGCACACTCAGAGCCGCTTTCCAGTGCCTAGATTGTTAGAGTATCATGCTCCTGAAGTGTGACGCTCTTGAACTGCTCGACATAAGCAGCACTGGAACGCTCTCGTCTTAACCCCCACCATTTCGGATTTCAGGAGCATGAAACACAGACAAAAGGGTTGGTGCACGAGGGGGCAGGGGATAACAGAAATGAGTAGCTCAAGTGTACGACACTCTAAGTACTGGAACGCGCAAAGCAATCGTGGAGCACTCCTGAGCTGCTCAGGAGTAACTCAAATGGGTCACTGGAAAGCACCTCAGGTAACAAATACCTGGCACCTGACAGGAAACCAAAAATAATTAAAATTCACCTGCCTTTGATTGTTATATGCAATAGGCTCGTTCAGTGAGGTGCCATTAACCACGTTTTTTGATATTTTTATGGAGTATTAATCATAGCACACAAAAAAAAATTCAGCGCAATTGGATAAATATTAAAAAAGTTATGCGGCTTTGAATAATAAAACATTATGCCTCAGAAATTCATCGCTTAGAGATGGTATGACGTCATCTCTCGAGTCAAGACGGGCTAAAGGCCGTCACACGACCAACTTGAGAGATGCAGTGACGTCACCGCGTGTTTCGAAACTTCCAAACTTGGAGCTTTTTGATAATTTATTTAAATATGAACAAGG